GCGCATGCGCACCCAGAGAAGGGCAGGGAAGAGGGGTCGAATATCTTCGTTGGGGGCTGGCGGGATCGGGGGAAGTAGAAGTCGCAACGTTCTAGCTGCGTCACTGTAGGTGTTGCACACATATAAATTATATATATAGGCGAGGATATGTGGGATCTGTTTGGGGAGAGGCTGTATGCAGTCGGTTTTAGGGGGGAGCTGGCAGAGGCAGTGAGAGCCACAAGCAGCATGCTGCTTTACAGCGCCGCCTCAGCAAAGGCTGGAGTGTTTGGGATTTTGGGGATGTGTGGGAGGGTTGGTTCAGGCCTGTTTTAAAGAAAAGGGCAGCTGTGAAGTTTGAACCTAAAGCCAGGCTTCCGCAGAGTGCTGTGGTCTCAGTTCTCGCGTGTCTCTCGCTATTAAATGTATAGCACGTTAACAGTAGCTTTTTCTATGGCTTCCGTCGTGGCAATAGCTGAGTGACAAATATGGCGATTTCCTGCAGTGTCCTTGAAAAACCTGATTCAATTAAGTTTAAGTATCTTTGGAGTCAGTTGTACTAAATACAAAAGTTATGTATGTTTGTAGGTCAGTATTATATATACCATGCCTGGGGGGTAGATGTGAACCCTGGGGAGTGGTATGAACTTCAAAGGATTGTGCTGACAGTGTGCCAGACAAGAAGGAATTTAAGGGACATACAATGTTAAGTGGTTTTCGTGGGAATCTCTAGCAGGAGGTGAATGCAAATTCTTTACTTCCAGTCTTTTGAAGCTGCACCCTAAGGAGAGAACCATAATCTGCTGATTACCTGTTCCCTGCCTCTCAGGGAAGGTCTACACTATGGCGGGGATCGAGGCTCCGAGATCAATCCACTGGCGAGTGTAGTAAAGTCCCACTAAATCAACAAAAAGAAGAACAGGAGTACTTGTGGCACCTTAGAGACTAACAAATTTATTAGAGCATAAGCTTTCGTGGACTACAGCCCACTTCTTTGGATGCATCCGAAGAAGTGGGCTGTAGTCCACGAAAG